CGCATGAGTTCGATCCCCGCCTGCCTGCCCCAGAGGAGATCCACATGGTGTGGCAGACCTCTCCTGACCCGCCCGCTGCTCCCCTCAGCAGTGTACCTCGTAGATCTGCCTGTTCTGCTCCCCACTCTGTCTCTGGTGAATCCTCTCACCCTCCGCATCTCTGGCCTGTACCCCAGTTCTGTATGAATGAATAAATAAATCAAAAAAAAATATTTTGATAATATTGAGATAGAGCCCTCCTTGGTGGTACAACATCTGGCCTGTACCCTAGTTCTTGTATGCATAAGTCTTTAAAAATACTTTAATAATATTGAAATAGGGCCCTCCCTGTTGATGCAATGGGTTAAAGCACAGCATTGTGAAGCTAGCTATAGCTTCAGCATGAGTTTGTTCCCTGGTCAGGGATGTGACCCACATGGCACGGCAGACAGCTCTCCTGGCTCACCCGCTGCTCCCTACAGCAGTGTACTTTGTCAGTTTTCCTGTTCTGCTCTCCACCCTGCCTCTGGTGAATCTTTCACTGCCTCTGCACCTCTGGCCTGTATCCCAGTTCTGTATGAATAAATAAATTGTAAAAAATATAATAATATTGAGATAATTCATGAGAATATTAACTCAGGTAAATTATAGACCTCAGAGACACTAAAAGTCTTCTAATTCATATAATAGCTAATAGAATTTCTGTGTTTTGGATACTATTCTAGAGCCTTTCATATCTCATCTTATTTAAGTTTGACAATAACCCTTTGTGGTAGGTACTTTTCTACTTTATAGATAAGAAAAAATTTGGCTTAGTAAAATTAGTTTGCTAACAACTACATTTCCAGAAATTACCAAAGTCAGGATGTATGTAAGAAGACTGACTCTGGTTGTATTTTTTTTTTTTTAAAGATTTATTTATTTATTCGTACAGAACTGGGGTACAGGCCAGAGTTGCGGAGGGTGAGAGGATTCACCAGAGACAGAGTGGGGAGCAGAACAGGCAGATGGACGAAGGACACTGCTGAGGGGAGCAGCGGGCGGGTCAGGAGAGGTCTGCCACGCCATGTGGTCGCCTCCGGGGCAGGCGGGGATCGAACTCATGCGGAAGCGGCTTCAGTTTCTCAGTGCAGTGCCTTAACCCGCTGCGCCACCAGGGAGGGCCTCTGGTTGTATTTTTAAAGACTATGTTATCTTGCCTCTCACGTGTGGGCACAATAATAACCGAGGGTCTCCCAGTACAGAATTAGAGTTGAGGAAATATCACCAAAAGAAGAGCTGCATATTGAAAGACTGTTTAGGAAGTAATAGGAATTGTAACTTTCAGAATTAGAAGTGGAAATTCTGAAGTAGCAAAAAAAAAAAAGTGATGAAAGACTTTAAGAGGACAGAAAGGACAGAAAAGAGAGAACTTAAAAAGGGAAATCCAGGGTAGAAAGAAGTATATATGAAAACTTACATAGCAACGGGAAAAGGGGGAAATTTGTCATGTAGAGAATTCCATGGTCATTTGTTTCTTTGCGGTGATCATTTATTTTCTTTTTAAAGCTGTAAATTTTATTTGCGACCATCCGGATATCAAAGCCATCAGCTTTGTGGGATCCAACCAAGCAGGAGAGTATATCTTCGAGAGAGGGTCAAAACATGGCAAGAGAGTTCAAGCCAATATGGTGACTTCTTATTCCTTTTCACCCCAAACTCTTTGTAGTAACATTTTCTAGAAACATCCCTTCAGCAGTGGGGCCACTCAAATGCCAGTGTTATTACCATTTCATCCTAAATGTTTTCCCTTTACTCATAAATCTTCTGATGAGTTTTATTTTAAGTCACTTTAATTAATACTAATCTTGGTGAATTCTGTGGGCTTTATCAATAATGGCCATATTCTAGTTCTGACCTTCTTTCTTCTTTCATACCATTCTTCTGACCCTCTTCTTTAAGTCATTTTCTAACTACTAATGTCAGCGATGTGATCTTCCCTAAGAGTTCAGGCTATTTAAGGTCCTGGAGACAACAGCTACCCTTGATATATGAGTGTGGCTTGATTGCATATCTTTCCTCCTCTTACTAGCTCCTTGCCAAATATTTAGCAATTCTTTGATACTAAATATAAAGTCCAGTTGCCACTTTCTTACTCTTCAGCTAATGTTTCAGAGAGGACAGCCACTGTGCAGAGGTCCACTTCTGAATGACTGAATGTGTTTTGGCCATTTTGACTTGGGCTCCTTTACTGTTTTGTCTTCTGTGTCTAATGTTATTCTATTTGTAATGGGATAAAATTAAGTACCAAAAATAGTTTCTGTCCATATACTCAACTATAACTGTGTGGAATTGACCATGTGTCATCCTACATAGAAGTTTATAGGGTTGTGTTTGGAACCAAGCCTATTTGAGGAACCTCTTTCCAGAGAAATTATCATGAGCCCTACCTCCTATTTCGCTTTTAACTGGCTACTGGTACCTCTTTGCTTATATTGCTTTTCAAATAACTGGAAACCCCAGCAGACAAATTATTTTCTTAGGCAAGAAAAGGAATTATCCTTGGGGTCCTATACATGTGTTAGCCTGTCAGTTTGATTGAATTTGTCATTGAGACTTTTTAACCTTTGGGGGGGGGGGAGTAATGGTTTGGATCAATATAAATATACTAGCTTATCAGATGAGAAGAAAAATTTGGAGATGGCTCAGTTTATAGTATCAAAATGATAATCTGTCCTCAAAGCAACAAAGGATAAATTCTCTAGCCCTTTCCCTTAAGTCTTATTTGAAACCTCAGATTCTTTGTGAATTTCTTAGCTTTGTCATATTTTGCCAAGGAAGATACATGTACTTTCTCTACTTCCTTAGGGAGCCAAAAACCATGGGGTAGTCATGCCAGATGCCAATAAGGAGAATACCCTGAACCAGCTGGTGGGGGCAGCTTTTGGAGCTGCTGGTCAGCGCTGCATGGCTCTTTCAACAGCAATTCTTGTGGGTGAAGCTAAGAAGTGGCTGCCAGAGCTGGTGGAACGTGCCAAAAACCTGAGAGTCAATGCAGGTAATCAATGATCTGCCTAGCTCCTTTAGACTTTGCATCTGTCATTAAAGTTTTGATTTAGCCTTGGCTTGATCAATGAGAACAATCATGTCTATTGTTACCATTGCCTCCCTTTACACAGTGCTTGTCTTCTGGATTCATTGTTTGTTAGCAGTCATAATTTGTTAATGAAGATCCTCTAATGTTTCTATGTGGCTTTATAGGAGACCAGCCTGGGGCTGATCTTGGCCCTCTGATCACCCCCCAGGCCAAAGAGAGAGTCTGTAATCTGATTGACAGTGGAACAAAGGAAGGAGCATCCATCCTTCTTGATGGTCGAAAAATTAAAGTCAAAGGATATGAAAATGGCAACTTTGTTGGACCAACTATCATCTCAAATGTCAAGGTGAACAACTCTATAAATTATCTCTATGGAGAATGGAATTTTAATTTTATATGTTTTTTACATGACATGATTGATTTTTCCAACCATTTAAAAAATATGAAAACCATTCTTAGCTAGTGAGCTATACAAAAATAGGCAATAAGCCACATTTAATCCATGGGCCATAACTGGCCAAACCCTATTTTATATACTTGTTACTTATTTAATGTTTCTTCCTTCTCTTCCTTGATGTCAAGCTTACAGCTATTGCTTTATCAGTATACCAACCATCTATTATTATCTATTTATTCTCTGCCCAAAACTTAGCTGCATCTTCACCAGTAAGTTACAAAAGAAAAATAATTGGTATCATTTTTTATTTATCAAAACTCTGAAAGTCAGCTAACATTAATTACTAAACAAGGCAATAAGGTCTGTTTTTGAAATTCATATGTCTCCTCTAATCCTAAAATAATCCCAAATAATTAAGAGTTGAATTTAGTAGAAACTGTGAAGTCTCTTTTGCCACAGAAACATAAAAGGAAAAATCCATTTGTCAGCAACAAATACAGCTAACTGGCTACAATGGTGAAGGATGCTTGAAGATTTTAATGTGACCTGATGTCAAAATATAAATGCATGGATCCATATGGAAGGCAAAGGAAGAATGAGACAGATTGTTTATGTTACAGAAAACTTAGCATAAGTCTAAACAACAAAATAATCTGTTGCATATAATACATATTTGAATCATTTAACTTTTCACAATAATTTTCAGTAACATAACTACTGTATGAACTAATCATTAAGGAGGAAGCCAGTGGTGATACCTAAAAATCCAGTGCTTAGGAGAGGAGTGTAGTTACAGTTAATAGGAATTTCAAGTTATTTGTATGATTGGCAGCTTGGAAAAGGGAACACAGTAAGAAGTATATTTTGTTATAGGTGGTTTAAAATGAAAAGAGGTTTCTAAGTAGAAAGCTGTCCATCTAAACAGGCAATGAAGTACAAAATTAGCATTAAACACTGACTTTTCTGTATGTATCATTTCTGGTAGCCAAATATGACCTGTTACAAAGAGGAGATTTTTGGTCCAGTTCTGGTGGTTCTGGAGACAGAAACTTTGGATGATGCCATCAAGATTGTTAATGACAACCCATATGGAAATGGAACTGCTATCTTCACCACCAATGGAGCCACTGCTCGGAAATATTCCCATCTGGTGGATGTCGGGCAGGTTTGTGAACAGAATTTTTAAGAGATCCTTGCACCCACTTATTGTTTCCTGCCTAAAAGGAGATGGTAAACAGTGATCAGTAACTGCCCTCTGACCTCCCAGTGCCCATTTCCTCCTCCTTGGGAATAAGTTCCTGGGGTGGAAGATGGTGGGAGGGTGGCGGGGTGGGGAGAAGGTGGGTATTTAAAAATGGTCTCACGGATGCCAACTATTTGTACTTCTAAATGGAGTTTCTTTGACTTCTCTTCTCAGTATCTGATGTGGATTTGTTGTTCTAGGTGGGTGTGAATGTCCCCATTCCCGTGCCTTTGCCAATGTTCTCATTCACTGGCTCTCGATCTTCCTTCAGAGGAGACACCAATTTCTATGGCAAACAGGTAACTTTGAAGTTTAAAAGAATATTTTTTTCCTCTAAGAGACTTTCAAAAACATATTCAGGAGCAAGGATTCGGCAAGGAAGGGCCTGTCAGCAGCTTCTGTGAGAGCATGTGTTGTCCAGCAGTGCTTTTTAGGAGGTCCCCTAGAAAAGATTTATAAGTCAACCAAGTTTTGCCAAAATTGCTTAAGCCTTTGTATGTACCCTTTTTTCTGCCAGCCACCCTCTGTCTGTCTTCCACCTTTCATCTGACTCTAAGAGAACTCCTCCAGAAAAGCCAGCTCTGACCAGCATCATCCCCTTGCTCAGTGCTGGATTAAATATGTCCTCATTGCTCCCACTGCACATATTTCTCTTATAATAGTTATTCCTCTACAAAATAATTTTATTGAGCATCTTCTTTGTACCAAATACTATTTGAGGCAATGTAAATGTTACCAATGAATAAAAAAATTAATCAAGCAAATCTAGAACCAAATCACCTGGATGTAAATCCTAGCTCGGCCACTTATTAACTGTGACCTTGGAGGTAACCCTATGCCTGAAATTCCTTCATCTGTAAAATGAGGATAACAATAATAATACCTATACTTAGGTATTAAATAACCTCTGTTACCACAACCTTTATCATGTGCACATGTCCTACGGCAGAAATAGGCATGGCATTTTCAAATAGCAGAAATGGACTGAAGTATAGTGAGTGACTGAGGAGAAAAGTGATAAGAGGTAAGGTTAGAGAAGTAAGCAAGGCACTAGTCATGTAGAGCTCTTTAAGCCATGTTAAAAAGCCCTTATTACATTGTCATTATTTACTTATCTGCAGTACCTGGTACAGAGCTGGTCCCCAAAGTTATATTAAACAAAAGGAATTTCTGTGTAGCCCCACAAAAATACAGTCATTATGGACCATATCAAGTAATAAATTACATGCTTTTAATACAGATCTCCTTTTTATAGGCTATTAAAAAGTTAAAAGTTGTAATTGCATAGCTGAATAACATATTATGGCCTATGTGTTAAGTAAACTCTGGTTATCCAGAGGCAGATTATCCAGTTAGTGCATATTTGCAACTTTTGCAGAGTTGATTAGTTTGATATTATTAATAAAAATGTCTTTAAAGAAAAGCAAAATTAAACTACTGCTTAAAATGGTTTTTTTTTCCTCTTCTCCCCTGTCTTGGTTTAATTACTATAAATTATTCTGGTAAGTAAGATTTCTTGGAGGAAAAGACAGACCTCCTACACAGTTTAAAATCCTAAACCCTTAGATAAGTAAATTGCTACTTTAGCATTTTGGAAAGAGAACATGAAATATTCTTGTTTAATAAATTATAGACTTTAGTTGAAACCATGTAAGTCTTTAGTAGTTTTCAATACATTCAAACAACTGAGGGGCCCTCCCTGGTGGCACAGTGGGTTAGAACACCGCATTATGAAGCTATCACAGCCGCTGCAGTTCGAGTTCCATCTGCAGGGAGGGGACCCACATGGTGCAGCAGACCTCTCCTGACCCGCCTGCTGCTCCCCTCAGCAGTGCACTTTGTCAATCTGCCCGTTCTGCTCCCCACTCTCACTCTGGCCTATACTCCAGTTCTGTATGCATAAATAATTAAAAAAAAAAAAAAAAGACTGAGACTTTGCCAAATAATTCCAGAAGGGCTTATTTAACCAAGCTAATCTGTTTCTAGCAATACTTCCCTAGTAATTAAATGTTAGACCTGCACAGTGTATTACCTTCTGTTCAAGCATATTCTGACAAAATAAATGATGTATATACACAGCCTTAAATGTGCTAGATTTGGGGGCTCACTTTATAGGTGTTTTAGAAATAATGTATATATACTAAATATTTTACTTTTGATTTGTAAGATATTGTAGATTTTCAAACTTTATTATAGGCTTTTATATCACTGACTATTGGCAGAAATGGTCTATTAGTGTTTTATTCTTTCATCCCTTTTTCTCCTTTATGGGAAGGACAGAAAAACTAACGACTGTTGAAAAACATTTACATTGCTAGGATGATTGATTATGTATCATTTCATTTATCCTCATAGCCTTGGTATGAAGTGGGTGTTGTGTCACAGATAAAGCCAAGGTTAAACTGCGGTCAGTAAGGGGTAGAGGCAGAATTTGAACCAAGTCGTTGAGAACATAGAGCACATGATACTCAGCTCTAGGAACAGAATGGCCTGCGAGTTTAACAGATTATTACATTGTTTAGTTTTTCCTTTTTTTTTTTTCCAGTTTTTCCATTTTAATGCTCTTGACTAATTTCAGCATAGTGATAGCTAAGGTTTCCAATGTTTTTATGTGCCAGATATTATGCTAAATACTGTATACAGATTATCTCATAAACAATATACTAAATTTGGGTTGCCTCTATTCCTCAAGTAGGAAAATGAATAGTACTTCACAGCATCTCTTACAAAAGTAAATTAAAAGAAGAATCATAAATTTCCAACAATATAATCTCTTTTTTCCCCCTTTGTTCTCTTTAGGGTATTCAATTCTACACTCAGCTAAAGACCATCACTTCTCAGTGGAAGGAAGAAGATGCTACTCTTTCCTCACCTGCTGTAGTCATGCCTACCATGGGCCATTAGAAATAAGTTTGTTCCAGACTCGTCCATCCTGAGTAATCTCCCTTTATTCTTGACCAACTTCATTTGACAACTTTGTACAGACCACATCCCTGGGATTGGAATACTTTGCAACTAAAATCTTTCTCAGGGCTATTAGCCCCTGGGAGTTGCTATAGGGAGACTCCTACTATATCTTTGATAACAGATTTTCCTAGTTCTTCATACCTTTATTTTTGAGATAACTGTTGTAACTGTGAAATGTTTATCTGGAATGAGAGCTTAGACCTATCTTTTAAAATTCTCCCCTTTTCTGATGACTTGAAGGAAGATTACTGTACTAAAGATCTTCCAAGAATTGGAAGAGGACTTCTTACGTGGGGAAATTGGACAGAAATAACTCACCCTTTGGTTGATCTTTATAGTCCTACATAGATGCCTGTGGGGGAGACCCTCTGCCAGCTTTCCTGAGCCTCTCATTTCTCCCACACTACACCATATAGAAGCCATTTCTACTTATCCCACAATGGGGACAACTGCTTTGTTCTTTTTTGCTGAATGCCACTTTGTCTTAATGATTCACAACTGTCAATTCTACCTGCCTCTAGAAATTCACTTCTCAAGGGTACCTCAGCATGCAGAGGATAAACCAACTTTTTGTGTAAACCAAATGTGACATTTCAGGGATTGCTTCAGCAATCCATTAATACTTCAGTCATTAATTTAGATACAAATCATTTCTTTTTAGAAAATAATTTCAAAAGTTTGTTTAAGTCTAGAAATCAAGGGGTGCTCCAAACACAAAAGTGGACAATAGTCTTGCCTTCAGGAAATCCATCCTGGTATCACTGGCTGTATTTTTTAAGTTGTCCTTCCCTCTTGCCTACACTTCTCATTAATGATAATGAAAGAACCTTTAATAATGTACAATAATCCATTGGGCCTACGAAATTTCAAAGCTTTTCATGGCATAAAATTGTTTTAAAAAATGCTGACAGGTTCTTTTATGATTAATTCAGCTATCTTTATGCTTTTCTTCTTTGATATAACTAAGAAATGAATGCTTGAATCAAAATAGAGCCTGTTTTTTGTTCTGTCCTGTTAATGCAGATTTCATCTGTTAAATGAAAAGTCTGCTGGCTCTGAGAGAATCATCTCTGGCCTTCAGCCAGATGACATAGGTCATTCATTTTTCTGCGTTCTCACTAGTCATGTGGATAATGCTAACCTACTCTGTGAGGGTTATTCTTTGAGTTAAGGATAGTGAAACAATTGTACACTCTGGATTTTAGGCTTGCTGCTATTATCTGCTGGATGGAACATAAGAGGTGTCATTCACTTTTTTTCTTTTTTGTTTTTGGATAGTGAAGCAATAGAAATGTATAATTTGATAATGGAATGAATGCCCCTGGATTTATATCTTGTTACAGCTAACAACTGATAGTAATGTTTAATCCAACCCCACAACTGTAGGCTGGGTTGAATAAAAGGTCATGTTGCCTAAATTCCATGTGGAATTAAATATAATCACTATAATCCCAGAGATACCCATGTTTAAGGGAAATTGCTATTTAAAAAACACTAATCAGGATTATGTTGCTAATTGGAATAAATTCATTTGACTTGCTACTTGCTGCTCAGAAGTTTCTTGTTTCTTTGGTTGCAGCTAAGAATTCACTATTCTGTTTTTTGCCCTGATGTGGCTGCTTCTGAAATTTCTCAGATTCATTGTATTGATTGATTTTGAATAACAAATTACAAATAAAAAGCTCTTTAAAAGAAGAACCTGCCCTTTTTTTAATGGTACCAGATTATGCCTTTGTCCCCTTGCTTGTAGTGTCTGGAACCTCTGTCCCGAACCATAGTTAGATGGTTATTATGCTTATTCTTACATAAGAGGTAGTACATATATTTGACTAGGCAATGCATTTCAAAAAGCAACTTTCAGATTTTTCTACACTAAAAGCAAATGCACATTTATGACTCTAAGTATAATAAACCTTCTTTAGTTTTATAACACTGTTGTTGTAGAAATGTCTACAATCTCATATAGTGTTAGCACTCATCTCTCTGATCTCTGAGAGATGAGACAGTAGAGAATAGAACTGTGATTTAGCAAGAAGCTACACAGAGAGGAATAACAGTTATGTGTATTGTTTGGGCAGATTTCAGGCTCCTTACTATGTTAGACTCTTGTGATCCTTTTGGAATATTGGGTATCATCAGCTCATCGGTAGAGTTTGAGACTGTTGCTTGCTGGGTGATAAAGGTTTGATCTGGAAGGTTACTTTCATCCCTGCAATAAGGACAAAGTAACAGACCTGTCAATAATCACATAAACATGGAATCTGGTTCAGAACAATAGCCTTCTCTTATTTCTCTCACTGAATTCCAGCACTTAAACAATGTCTACAAGATCCACAGTGATCAAGCTCATGTTCATTGTTTTGTCAAGATGGAGCTTACCTAGATTCCTTTTTTTCTCCACTGTCAGGAACATAGTCTGGAACTGGCGGCCTAGACCTCTGGTTGTATTTCCTATGGTAGGTAAAAGGTAACAGTGAAGCAGTGTCTCCTTGTGTCCTTCATTTCAACTCTACTGTTAAAGTGCTAAGTGAAATGTTTCCTTTGGCTGGACTTCTTATTTGAAAAAAACGAGCTTTTACACATATCTAGAGGCAATGCAGTGTGAGTTAGACACGCTAATACAGACATATTCTCTTACAATTGAGATTATGTTGAACATAAGAAAAAACTTCATGAAGATGACTACGTGAGGCTACACAGCTGTTTTTAAGGGTGAAGGTAAAATTCTGAACCAGAGTACTGACCAAAAACATGGGCAGAAAAATTCCCTGTCCACAAAAAGAACCTCAGAACACAGGCTACCCAGAAGCGATAGAGCATGTGTGAAATTCTCTATACTTTGTGAAATCCGGTTTAAGAGCAAGAAATAAACTTATTAATTCAATATTTTAATTTGAAGATGAGTATAAAAAGTATAGTTGGGGTCCTTCCTGGTGGCATAACCGGTTAGGATGCAGCACTGCAAGCTAGCAGCAGCCACTTAAGTGAGTTCAATCCTCCCCACCCCCCACCCCAAGGTGATCCACATGGCACAGCAGACCTCTCCTGACACCCCCCCACCCCCA